TTTATATTATTAAAATGTTTATTATATTTTCCATATGACTTATCCGTGTTTAATTTTTTTTTTTTGAAATTAAAAATATTAATAAGATATACTTTTTTTATAAAGCTTGCTTTTTTACTGAAATATCGAAATTATTTTTTTTTAATAGAAAAAATTGTGTGAAGTTTCTAAATAAATGATAAAAATAAACTACAATTATAGAAAATTAATTTAATATTAATGTATGAATTTAATAATAATTATGTTTATTCTGAATGAATTAAAGATTCAAAGATATAAAAAAAATTTTTAAAAAAAAAATTAAAATTTTTTTTATTAAATGATAATAAAGGTAAAAATAAGTGTAATGATAAACATATTATATTGGTGAATATCATGATTATCGAATATTACAATTGTTTAATGTTATTTATATTAATAAATTATGTAATTTAATTTGTATCAATTCTAAAAGTAACTGTGGCATAATGACCATTTATATCGTAAGATACATAAATTGATTTAATATTAATGCAGGATGTTTATGAATAATATGTAATTAATATAATGGATATACATCATAGTCATAAAATGTTATTAACATAAACAATTTTAATACACAACCACTAAAATATTTTTGATAAAAAATTTATGATATATAGCAATAAATATTGAAAAATATAAAAACAATGTATTATAATCTTACTTACATTTATGGGTATAATGGTAGTTTTAATGAAAAAAATAATAAAAATGTAATTTACATAAATTTGAATTTATTTTAATTATGATTCAATTTCTTACATAACAATATATTATTGGAGGAATTAAAATTTAGAAATAATGAAATGTATTATAAATTATAAATTCACAGCTAGATGTGAACTACCTTTTTCAGGTAAATAATTTGAAATATATGACAATAAAAATCTGATGAAAAAAAGGAATTTAAATAAATATAAAAATTATCTTAATTTTTATAATTTAAGTAATAATAATATATAAATCTCAATAAAAATAAGGAATACACTGAAGTAATCATTTTTATAATTTAATGATATATAATTAAAACAAAAATATGTGTACATATTTTGCAAAATGTTTCTACATAAATATGTTAAAAAGCAACAATAGCAATTATGAAAAAAAGTATTTTTATATATAGCGAATTTTAAGTTATAATAACCATAATTATAACAAATGTAAAAACTATTATAGATAATATTTCTTATGAACTATCTTTAAAAAAAAATTTATAATATATTTATTAAATTATATATATTACATATATAATAATTTTAACTTAAATTCTAATTATGATAGTTATGTTAAAAATCATGTGAAATGTAATAAATGTAAATAGATTTAATAAAAATAGGTGCAATAATTTTTAAGATATATATTTTTTTCCTTTATTTTCTTTTTTAATTCAAAAAAATTTGTTCAATTTTTAACCTTTCTAATAGAAAAAATATAAAATAAATTAATTTTTTATTTTTTTTTATCATCTTCAATAGTATTATGTCTATAAATCTACAAATATAATAAAAAATAATTTGTAATATATTATTTTTATGAAAATTTTTACTTTTCATCAATTTCATTTTCATTCGTTTGTTATGCTACTTATAAGACATGCAACTAAGATAATTAAAAATTTCCCCTAGTTTTTATTATTATATTTACTTCTATCTACATTATGCTACTGAATCATAAAAATATATCAATATTTTTTCTTAATTCATTAATAAAACGAAATATATATATGTGTGGTTAATAAAAGGCTTCATTAACCTTTTTGGCTATAAAAGGACTAGCTATGTGGAGAATACATAGATAGTTGTGCTAAATTAAAAAAAAAAAAAAAAAAAAAAATTATTGGAATTTTTTTTTTGAGAAATGTTTCTTTCGAAAAAGATAAAGATAAAAAAAAAAAAAAAAATAAAAAGATTTAATTTTTTTTTTTTTTGGGGAAAGAGATTTTAAATGGAGAGAGAGATTTTTTTTACAAAAGATAATAGTGTTTTTGTAGAGAGTTTAATTTGTATAATATTTATATTTTGAATTTATGAGAGAAAATTTTATACGTATGACAATAAAATTTTCACGTAATTAATATTCATATAATTTATTTGTATTTTTAATAATTGTTTATGTTTGCTAATTCAACAGCAATATATGTAAATTGCTGAATATAACTTACAACAAAGAGATAATTAAGTTACATTTAATTATTAGTCAATATTCAATAAGGATTTAAATTTTTAATAAAAATAAGGATTTTTATTAAAGTAAATAAATGCCTATTGAAAGCAAAGAATGTTGAACGAAGTAGAGCACATAGTTAAGAGTTACTCATTCAAAGCATATTAAAGATACATATAAATACAACAAAATCGTAGAGACACCTCTACATGCTCTTTATTTATTGGTTTGTTCAGTACTCCAGTAAAGTCACCGAACACCCAGTTAATAAACCAATGTGTAATCATTACCCTTTTATTTATAAAAATTATATAAAGAAGCTTTAGTAGCTTTATATAAAAATAAATATATCTTGAGATATATGTATCATGTAATACATTGTATAATGAATGCATGCATTCCATTAATATAAAAATTCTCCTTAATTGTGTTACATTTATATCTATATATTTATATTTTTATATTCAAAACAAAATATTATATTTATCATTATTATTTTTTTGTTGTAGAATATTCTTCAACATATACGTTTGCTTTTATTGTTCTTTATTTTAATTATATATATTCTTTCTTTTTTCTTACACAAACAAATTAAAATATATAATATATGTATGTTAGTAATTTACTAACTGCTTATTCAATGTTTTTTTTAGGATGTTGAACAAACAGATTAATAAAGAGCATGCAGATTTATCTATACTAATATAATGAACTTAAATTTTTTTTTAATACTCTAAACCAGTAAATTGTATTTGTGTTGTCTAATTAGTTGAGTATTTATTTTTTTGCATAGGAATTTATTTACCTTAATAAAAGTCCTATATTTTCATTAAAAACTTAAATCATCATTATTTATTTTGATTACATATATTTTATTTATAATGTTATGAGTAATCATTAACAATTCAAATTCACTGCCTTCAAATAAACAAGCATAAGCAATCAATAGAATAAAAATTGTATTATATAAATACTACGAAATATGAAAACATTATTATAATTAATATAAAATTTTCTTATATAAATTTAAAAAAAATATACTACAGGAAACTTTTTAGTCAGTAACTATGCTTTTTTTAATTTTTCAACAATACAACAATTTTCCAAAAAAAA